TAAATTATTTTTTCATAACATAAATTGATTAGATGGATATTCATTACATGGCATTTGTCTCTGAAAATCATAATGTTTAAAATATGGCATCTACACGTTTAATTCGTATAAAATACCAGGATCCAAAAATGTGTATACTGTAAGATATAACTAACTGCTAAATGTAATGATAAAATGTAAGATGATGGTATTCACCTTTACAGCCGGAATAATTCAAGGCCTATCTATTTAAATGTCTGCTTCTTCCACAATGTACCTATCCATTGAAATTTGTAGAAAAGGCCCTTCTTAAGAGACATTAGCAGTAAAATGTGATAGGACAAACTCATACCTAACTCAGAAACATACATTTTAGAAGCATTTTGTAAAATATCTCCATTCTCAGTTCAGATCAAGCTGAGATGAAACAAATAGCAAAAATGTCCATTCCTAATATCAAATATATTTGATATTTGGAATGTTGGTGGGTACCAAATGTTATTTTGGCTTATGTATGATCAGGTATTCTGTGGCTCTGCTTGTTGGAAAGACTGTTATAGGTGATCTAGTAAACAACAGCGTCAGCTAAATTGCTTAATATAATTCACAGCACAGAATACTGTCAGCATTTCTTACCAACTTATCCTACCATTCTTCAAAGTGAGATTGCTTTTGTTTCTTGCTGCTGGAATTGGGAAAATTTAAAATCACATGAAAAATCATGCAATACCTTTGTTTCCCCTTTTCATCCATAGTTTGATCTTGAATAAGGTCTCGGCGTGTTCGCTCTTTGGAGGTAGCAACAACAGAGGACTGCAACGCTGGCTGCAGAAATAGATCACAGCTAAGTTAATAGAAACCCATTTATTAAACTTATATGCTGCCCATCTTGCCAAAGGCAACCCTTGCATTTTACATTTCTCTATTCTTAAGCCCCCAATAATATTACAAATATATTTTACTTTTTTAACATCATCATCCTCTGCGTCGCTTTCATGGCGTGATTCTCTCCTTGTCCGACGTTCACCAGCCAATCTAAATGTAATACAAAGTGTCAGAAGCAAGCAATATAATTGAGATAATCAAACTTTTGGACTTATGCAGAATTCCAGAACTTGGCATTAGCGTATAGTTTCTTTTATTAAACTGCATTGTGGAAGGAATGTTTTTAAAACAAATATTTGTATGCTCACTTCTGATAGATACCTAGTAATGACGGATGCTGCACTACAGATAATCCTCATCTCACAACTGTTCGTTTAAGAACTGTCTGGAGTTAGATTGGTACTTTACAGTCCATGAAGCACTTTCAGCTGTCACAAATGTTGCAAACTCCACACACATATCTATAATCATATTTTTGATTTTGTCACCTGGCAATTGGCTCACATTTACCATTGGTTGCAGCATCTGTAGTCACTTTATCACAATGTGTGATCTTTTTGCTGGTTTTTAGCAAAAAATATCCATTAGAGAAAATGAATTTCTTTAAGCATTGTGTGATTTGCTTAATAATCAACATAAAATGATTGATCTGGCAAAATTGGGGTGCTCCAGGTTCCTTCAATTAAACAATGCGATCTACCAGGACTCAGGAAGCACACCTTCTCAGCAGCAATACCTGCTCTGTGGAATGGGTTTTCCCCCAACAGCCCCTACTCTCTTAGTATTTTAAAGGGCCCTGAAGACCTGGCTCTTTGTCCAGGCATTTGGCATGTATGACGAACCCCCTTTTCTTCTTTTGAGCCCCTCTTTTTTCTTTTTCTTTGTTCTTATCAGAGAGGTTTGCAGTCTTTAAAAAAATAAAATAAAATAAAATATTTTTAAACTGCCTAGAATTGATGGGAGTCTGGCAGGATATAAATACCGATACTTGGCTAGCTTGATGTGATGTGCAAACCTGCCAAATGAGGCTACACACTGTGTGTAAACTAATCACTGTGGCATATTCTACAGTACATAGCCTATGCATCTTGGCAGAAAATTAACCAAAATGTAGCAAACAAATACACTGAATACGGTAAGATATGAAAATAATTTGATTCTTCAATCTAAGTGTAAGTATTCTCTGCTCACCTATTCGTCGACCCTTCTAGATCCCTCTGTTTGGCTGGGGGTCCTCCGCCGCTATCCGAGAATCCACGCCTAACATAAAACAGCAAATTAGCTTTCTCTAAACAAATGCATACATTCAGAAACATATAATGTTCTATGAAGATGTATGCAGTATTTAAAAAATAGCCAACTATTAGTTTCTTCATGAAAGGTGAAACAGAAATGCAACAAGTGAATCTATTAGTATTAAGCAAGAAAATCCAAGAAACATTTTTCTATGTAAAATAAATAAAACTTATAATTGGTAGAGTAGTAACTACACACAAGCACACACATATATATTTACTAAAGCCTTAGGATTCTAAAGCTTCTGACTCTATCCCTATTGTGGGCATCATGGGAGTAGACTACAGTAGCATAATAAGTTTGAATTTCACAGATTTTTTAAAGAAAATTTATTATCTGCCTACCAGCTCACAGTGACTCTAGGCCAGTGTTTCTCAACCTTGACAATTTTAAGGCATGTGGACTTCAACTCCCAGAATTCCACAGCCAGCAATGCTGGCTGTGGAATTCTGGGAGCTGAAGTCCACATGCCTTAAAATTGTCAAGGTTGAGAAACACTGCTCTAGGCAGCTTACAAGCAATGATCATCCTTGATTGTTTGCTTGTCTACTCTAAAATTATAATAGAAGCCTACAGATCAGCTGAAGTCATTTCTGCACTGGATTTTCTGCAGTGTCTTGTATAATTCCAGTTATGCTAATCCAAAGTGCAGTTGATTATAGCTTTCCCCCCCCCAAACTTACAATAAATAAGCCTTTTTAGGGAGAAGGTGAACTATTCCCAACCAATATTTTCAGGGCAGCAGTAGTCGTCCAAAGGATGAGCCTCCCAAACAATAAAACAGTGGTCGCTTTAAGGCGTAACACTGCTTGCCACCCAGCACACAGTGACGACCATCAGATCACAAACACGTACCGTACTTGGCGCTCGTTTAAAACTGCTAAGTCAGGCTTTAAGTTTGACTAGCCTTAAATATATACCGATACATCAGTTAAAACGGAAGCTGAATTTTCACACAGCAGAAGATTTGCGGACACTCACCTCAGCAATAGGCTTCCGCGCCCCCTACCTCCACCAGGGCCTGTGATGGCCAACAATCTACCTTGAGCGGGCCTAGAAGGGAGGAGACACACAATGAAATCAGGATCGCCAGGAGGATGAAGGAAGTACAGGAAAGGAACATCCGCCTCTCAAGAGCAACGCCGGGGGCCTCGTGTTTGCAGGGCGCTGCCGCGTTTCCCAGCTCATGCCGGCACCATTAACCGACGCACCGCCAAGCTGCCCTCTAAGCAAAATTCCTCCGTCCTTCCGGGTCCTTCCACTCCCTTTTGGCCCTCTGGTCACTTCCATCCGGGCGCGGGAAAGAAAAAAATCGGTGGGAACGCTCACCGCGGGCCTCTTCTATGGAAGGCGGCGCCCGATCTGCTTCGATTAGTAACGGGTAGCAAGTGCAAGCCACCTATACACCCCGGATTGGGTTTTGAAGGGAAGGCGCAAACAAGGCCTCGCGGTCAGAAGTCAACCGCAAAGCAGCCCTTAAGCAAGCACGCCTCTTCCAAACCCCACGACCCTTCTTCCCCCCGCTAGGGGCTTACCGCACATCGTTGGGGTCCCGCCCCGTGAGTTTGCGGATATTCTCATCGACGTGCTTGAGGCTTTCCTTGGCTTTCTCCAGCTGTTCTTGTAGAGCCCGCACGGCTACCGCCATGCTTGCCGCCACAACCGCGGCCTAGCCAACCGGAACCCAACGGAAAGCACGATTAAGTTAAGGGGGGGGCCAAGGAGATAGCCGAGCTTCACGTAACGTGGCTCCAAGAAACTCACCAATGAGAACTCGACGTTTGGAGTGATACCTTTTTTACCCAAGAGCTATTCGTAACCTCTAGCGAAGGGCCAACCTATGAGCTTGAGTGGCATTGCATTACTCCAATCAGTGATCAAGTTCTTAACCAATGAAGAACTGACATTAACGACGCGACGTTACTTGCAGCCACTTCATCGCTTTGCTTCTGTAATCCTGCCAATAGCCAAGTGCCTGAGTAGAGTGATATCTTTACAGCCAATCAAATGACACTTACCTTTCAGCACAACCAATCAGTGATCGGCGAAAATGTGAATGCCCTTTTTCCACGCTAGGATAATCCCTACTGAAGTTCGCGCGCCTCTCTTGGCTTTCGGTAGTTTGAGAGGAGACGGTTTCCTCTGTTCGCGATTTGAATTTCAAAGCATATACCGCAATAAAGAGCGTTTTTATTTACGTCTAGACGGAATTAAGTGTCAGGGACTTCACGTTGCTATCTTTGTATTTTATTTATAGTTTGCGGTATTATGCTTTTGTTTGTGCTACGTTTGATTGTTTCGTAGGTGAGCCGCCGTTTTGATTGTGGCAGCATAGGGATGTAAAATACTTTTTTTTGGCTGCTTTCAAGCCAGCCTCGACTCTTGGCGATTGCCCGACAATGTTCCTATGGTTTTCTTGGAAAGATTTTGGAAGTGGTTTTCCCTTGCCTTCCCCCCCCCCCCCCCAAGAGCTGAGATTGACTGGCCAAGGTCATGCAGCTGGCTTTGTGCCCAAAGGAAGGACTAAAAGTCTTGGCTTCTAGTCAATTACGAACCATTGATCCACAGCACTATAATTAATATATTTCTCTTACGGTTCTTTTTTTTCTTTCCTGCAAGAAAATTACCCGTTATTGCGAAACGAACCCAGCGCGTGTTCCGCAAACGTTTTAATACTACCCTTTGCCTATTAGCGCATTTGCTAGAAATGCAGTGTTTCTCAACCTTGACAATTTTAAGGCATGTGGACTTCAACTCCCAGAATTCCACAGCCAGCAATGCTGGCTGTGGAATTCTGGGAGTTGAAGTCCACATGCCTTAAAATTGTCAAGGTTGAGAAACACTGTGCTAGAAGAACGCCCTACACTACAGTATCCACCGGTTGCGGTAACTAACCGAGGCCGGAGCGTCCGGAAGCTCCGCCCCGGCGCTGACGCCGGTTGCCTTGTTACGCCGCCTCGGATCTTAACGAAGAGGTCCGGGGGTTGGTTTGCATTGCGTCGGGGTGAGCTGGGGCTTTCGGTCCCTTTTCTAGGTGGGAGCTGCTCGGCATGAATAAGTCGGAGATGGCGGACGAAGCTCTCTTCCTCTTGTTGCACAACGAAATGGTGTCCGGGCTGTACCGCGCCGCCGAGCAAGGCGATGGGGTGAGTGCGAGTTTCCAGCCCGACGCTTCTCGCGCGTTCGGAAAAAGAGGGGAGCCCTTTGGGATTCTGGTTGGAGAGTAGCTGCTCCCACTCCCACTCCTCCTCCCCCTCTCCCTGAGGACCAAGCGGGGCTTCCGATTTCCAGGCAGCTCTTTAGGCTGAGGAAGCGGTGCGCCCCTTTGGGGATCGTGCGGAGGCCCTGTCCGGAGTTTCTTCCAGGAATCAGTGGCTGAACAGGTAACTTAGACGGCGGGCTCGGCGGGCTTTTTGGACAAATCCTAGCAGGCGGGTGGGGAGCGCTGGATTCATACGCTTCGCTTCCGGTTGTCGGCTGTGGAGGCTCTGGGTAACACGGAATACTAGCGGGAGGGATGATTTGAAGAGAACGGAAAGGCCTTGTCCAGGGGTAGGCAACCTCGGCTCTTTTATGACTCGTGGACTTCAACTCCCAGAATTCCTGAATCAGCTATACTGACTCAGGAATTCTGGGAGTTGAAGTCCACGAGTCATAAAAGAGCCGAGGTTGCCTACCCCTGGCCTTGTCACTTACTTTAGCGTAGGAAATAGTCTGGTTCATTTTTTAAAAAATTAATGTCCAACCTTACTTTTCTAATGGTCAGCGTATGGTTTTATTTTTACCGACCTGATTACAGGTAGTTCTTGACTTATGACCACAATTGAGCCCAAAATTTCTGTCGCTAAGCAAGACAGTTAACTAAGTTGTTGTGCCTCATTTTGTGTCCTTTCCTGACACCCTTGTTAAGTGAACCACCGCAGTTAAGTTGGTAACCGGGGTTGTTAAGTGAATCTGGCTTCCCCGTTGACTTGGCTTGACAGAAAAAGTTGATCAAATGACCCCAGGACGCTGCAACCGTCATAAATATGAGTTAGTTGCCAAGCATCTCAATTTTGATCACGTGACCATAGGGATGCAGCAATAATAAGTGTGAGAACCGGTCATAAGTCACTTTTTCCAGTGCTGTTGTAACTTTGAACAGTCACTAAATGAACTGTTGTAAGTGAAGGACTGCCTATATTTAATTCTGAAGTTCCTTTAATGCACCATGCCTGCTTTTTTTTTGAGAGAGAGTAGATTCTGTCACTTGAATGAATGACAAAAATTGCCCATTTGGAGGAGTTGTAAATCCCTACTCCTGCCATAGGGAGAGGCAAAGCCTGATAGAGTTGACTTCTCATGAAAAGCTGACAGGATCTTGTTTGTCTTCCTAATGGAATTGACTTTGTTATTCAATGAAGTGGCTTTGGGTACTCACCTTCCCCCCCATTTTATTGACAGTAGCAGCCTTTCAGATGCCACGTGACTATTTTTTGGGGGTACAAACACTAACAATTGTCCCTTATTAGCACAATACAGTAAAAGGATAACACAAGTAATGTTTATCTCAGATGCACTGCTCTTGCATGACAAAGAGAATAAAAAGAATCATTTAAAACCATTTAAAAATAGAGTGTTTGCAACTGCAAGGTTCTCTTTTTGTAATTATAGGAAAATGGACGTTGTATTACAAAATTGGAAAACATGGGGTTTAGAGTAGGACAAGGATTAATAGAAAGGTGAGTGCAATGTTTATTTTCTCTTTTGACTATTTTCTTTCTTTTACAATGGGGTTGTGCAATCTGTGGTGCCAGGGTCAAATGCAGTTTCCCCAACCCCTTTTTGTAGTCCTTGAACCACCTTGAACTAAAAACTGAACTGTTTTTATCTATTCAGAATGAGAAATAGCTGAAATTGTAGTGCAATGCCTAAGATAGGTGTGTTACACTAAACTTTTGGGGCTCTTGCTGACATTACCCAGTTTGTAGACCTTTGAGCTTCTAAAATTATTAAGTATGGCCATTAGCCATGGCCTCCTTATTTTAAAGGACCAAGGTTGGTAAAATACTAAAGCTAGATCTTATATTGCCAGTTAGGAAGAAAGTGATTTGGACTGGAGCAATGAAGGGAAGTATTACTGTGATATATGTTCTCTTAATTCCATATTTTAATTTTATGGATGGTTCTCATTGCTCTTAATATAAGCGTCTCTACATTTTTCAAGCTAGATTCCTTTTGTCTTTAAATATATATATTTTTTTCATTCATACTGTATTATATATTCAAACACAGTGTTTTTATTACCGTAGGATACATGTTGTTATATTTTATAATTAATGTTAAAGAAATTTAAAAAATGAAAAATAGCTCACATTGCTTTAATTTAACTTTAAGAGAAAAAGTTGGTAAATAATATGCAAAAAGTAATTGCATATTGTATGTATTATAATATAATTTAGTGGTTGCAATAGCAATGAAGCTGCATTTTTTCAATGTAGCCCCTGAGTTTTCTATATTCTGCATGCAAAGTATATATTCAGTCACTTTCGTCATCTATCTCCTGTTATAAAATCAGTTGGCGTATTTTAGATTTGATTGGGTTGTGCACATTTTTTAAACTGATTGTAAACAGTTAAGTGTATTACCCTGTGTGAAGGTGATTAAATGCTGCTGCTATTTGGGTTGCTTTCTCTTAGGTTCACAAAAGATACTGCCCGATTCAAAGATGAATTAGATATAATGAAGTTTATCTGCAAAGATTTTTGGACTACTGTATTTANCAGGAGATTTGTGGTTGTAATTTTATTTGCTCTAGTAGACATAACTTGGGGAGTCTATCAGTCTCCATTTCATTGACTTTGCACCAGTAGTTATAAGCTCTAATTTTGGATAGAGCATGAATTGTATGAATTCCCAATTCAGCTCTAACTGCTGCAGCAGATGTTCTTGGATCTACACCCAGAATACATCTCAAATGCTTGGACTGTGTTTGTTCTAAGACTGTGGTTGAGTAGAGACCCCAAACTTCTGCTCCATACAAGAGCATAGTGGTAACCTTAGCTTTATATACCTTAATTAATGGGGCTAAGGACCCTGGGTAACTATGGTTTTTTAGTTTGCAACAGTCATAAATATGAGTTAGTTGCCAAGCATCTCAATTTTGATCACGTGACCATAGGGATGCAGCAATAATAAGTGTGAGAACCGGTCATAAGTCACTTTTTTCAGTGCTGTTGTAACTTTGAACAGTCGCTAAATGAACTGTTGTAAGTGAAGGACTGCCTATATATTTAATTCTGAAGTTCCTTTAATGCACCATGCCTGCTTTTTTTTTGAGAGAGAGAGTAGATTCTGTCACTTGAATGAATGATAAAAATTGCCCATTTGGAGGAGTTGTAAATCCCTACTCCTGCCACATCCTGTTGGATGATTTATAGGGAGAGGCAAAGCCTGATAGAGTTGACTTCTCATGAAAAGCTGACAGGGTCTTGTTTCTCATCCTAATGGAATTGACTTTGCTATTCAATGAAGTGGCTTTGGATACTCACCTTCCCCCCCCCCATTTTATTGACAGTAGAAGCCTTTCAGATGCCACATGACTATTTTTTTGGGGGGTACAAACACTATCAATTGTCCCTTATTAGCACAATACAGTAAAAGGATAACACAAGCAATGTTTATCTCAGATGCACTGCTCTTGCATGACAAAGTCACAATTGCTTTCATTTTGATTCTACTTTAAAATAGTTAAGAGAATAAAAAGAATCATTTAAAACCATTTAAAAATAGAGTATTTGCAACTGCAATGTTCTCTTTTTGTAATTATAGGAAAATGGACGTTGTATTACAAAATTGGAAAACATGGGGTTTAGAGTAGGACAAGGATTAATAGAAAGGTGAGTACAATGCTTATTTTCTCTTTTGACTTTTTTCTTTCTTTTACAATGGTGTTGTGTAATCTGTGGTGCCAGGGTCAAATGCAATTTCCCCAACCCCTTTTTGTAGTCCTTGAACCACCTTGAACTAAAAACTGAACTGTTTTTATCTATTCAGAATGAGAAATAGCTGAAATTGTAGTGCAATGCCTAAGATAGGTGTGTTACACTAAACTTTTGGGGCTCTTGCTGACATTACCCAGTTTGTAGACCTTTGAGCTTCTAAAATTATTAAGTATGGCCATTAGCCATGGCCTCCTTATTTTAAAGGACCAAGGTTGGTAAAATACTAAAGCTAGATCTTATATTGCCAGTTAAGAAGAAAGTGATTTGGACTGGAGCAATGAAGGGAAGTATTACTGTGATATATGTTCTCTTAATTCCATATTTTAATTTTATGGATGGTTCTCATTGCTCTTAATATAAGCGTCTCTACATTTTTCAAGCTAGATTCCTTTTGTCTTTAAAAATATATATTTTTTTCATTCATACTGTATTATATATTCAAACACAGTGTTTTTATTACTGTAGGATACATGTTGTTATATTTTATAATTAATGTTAAAGAAATTTAAAAAATGAAAAATAGCTCACATTGCTTTAATTTAACTTTAAGAGAAAAAGTTGGTAAATAATATGCAAAAAGTAATTGCATATTGTATGTATTATAATATAATTTAGTGGTTGCAATAGCAATGAAGCTGCATTTTTTCAATGTAGCCCCTGGAGTTTTCTATATTCTGCATGCAAAGTATATATTCAGTCACTTTCGTCATCTATCTCCTGTTATAAAATCAGTTGGTGTATTTTAGATTTGATTGGGTTGTGCACATTTTTTAAACTGATTGTAAACAGTTAAGTGTATTACCCTGTGTGAAGGTGATTAAATGCTGCTGCTATTTGGGTTGCTTTCTCTTAGGTTCACAAAAGATACTGCCCGATTCAAAGATGAATTAGATATAATGAAGTTTATCTGCAAAGATTTTTGGACTACTGTATTTA